AACCCCCCTAAATCCCCCACTGGTATTCTACAACAGTGTATAGACACAAGGAAAATACATTGCTTGGCAGTTCTAGAGGTCCACTAGGGCAGTATGGTCAGCATGGGACTCTACAAAACCAGCTANTCCACTTATCATGTTATCGGTAAAAGTGCACGGCGACGGCGACGACGGCGACGGCGACGACAGACGCAGATGATGGCTATATGTACAGACACATCTGTGTCTGTACATAAAAATTGGTCAATGGCATTTAATGTATATACTATTGATGTAATAAGTCCAAAGAACGTTTAATAACACAACCATTTGATTTGCTGTTAAGAATTACTTCAGATGGTATAGATCTTCTTCATTTTAAATTAATAGTTTGTTTGAGGATGAGGAGAAGATTAATTCAGAATCTGCTAAAACCCCTTAAGATTATATGCCCTGCTTGTGACTAGTTTGGCATCTTGGCAATGTTGTTTCGGGCTTTTCATCCATACTCTGGTATCTACGGTAATGTGCCATGAATTTCGATCAGTAGAAAATAATTAAATTTGGGAAAAGATCGTTCTGGCCGAAATTCATGAAATGGAGGTTCTCAGAACTTCCAAACGTACGAATTTCATGGAATTCTGTCAATTTTGACCGGAAGTTGTCTGTTCGTCGCTATGCCTTCTGTTATCTTCTCCCGACGATCTATTTAGAGATACCATAATGTATGTGTTAGTGTCGTAATTGCGACCAAAGGGATACACGTACTTTCACCTGATCACTGTGTACGGCCTAAGGTGCTAGATAACGAGCAGTACTGTTGGCTAGGGACGCAAAACAGCATCGTTATCAGTAGTGTCGTTTTTTAAATGCGATTCTGGCAGCAAGAAACTGGTGTCGTCTTTCAAAAACGATCTTGGCGCTCAGAACGGGAGTGGACGGAGGGAGAGACGGCAGGCGATTAAAGTCTACCCCGGCCAGATAAGCTTTACTGTGGAAGCTTAGTGTTAGCGCTGCTCTTTTCCGTGCGTTGAAACCGAGACGACAGCCGATCGGTGTCTATGTCGCACGTACAAGTAGTCTTTATCTGAGATTACCGTTGACGCGAGTGCGTCCTCATCTTGCCGTGCGCGGGTCGGTGTCTTCGACGCATATGTCGCCTTCACTGCAGAAGCCGGCCTCAGCATAACGGTCTCTCTCCGCCGTGCAGGGAGGCCACTACGACCGCAGATCGGTATGTGCGGCGCACAGGTAACCTGCACCACGGCAGCAGCCGAACTGTGTATTACAGTCTCTCTCCTCCATGCGCTGCGACCAAGATGACCGCCAGCAAAATCTACCTGTGCGTTATTTTCAAAGAGCTGCCCCAGCAAACCTGGGGGGCACTAGATAAATCTGATCATCGGCCAGAGAAACAAATCTTGACACGGACTTAATCCAGCTTAACCCTCCAAACTTACATGGGCAAGTTTTACAAAATGTACAAACAATTAAACTAAGATGTATTAGAACTTTACCGGACGGCCTATATTTTCAAAGACGGCTAGACGGCTTAGGACTTTTTTTAATGACGGCTTGTCGGGACAGCCGTGGACGTTGTAAGAAATTTTCTTAGAGTAATTTGACGTACCCAGCGTTTATGATGCGTCACAGATGAATGGTACTACTAAAGTGTACGCTGATATTCAGTCACGACGAAACTACTCCCTAAAGCTTACAAAACACAATAAAATGTTTCTATCAACTTTAAGATACACATTCCACGCCGTATGCAGCAGTGACAAGAGTGACCTTCATGCGGTACAAAACACTCTAAGCAAACTAACCCCCAATTTGTGAAAGGGGAGGCAATTTTCGTATCGTTTGCAATCCGAGCAAAACGAGAAAGCTCACATTCGTTCAGTGGCTTTCGTTTGCGGAAGATCGTCAGTCGGAGATCGTTCTCGATCTAAGCGAGACGGGAAGGCAATTTTCATATTCATTCAAGGGAGTTCGTTCACGAAAGAGCGTTAGCGGAAGATCGTTATTGATTGTTTTTAACCCTCCCTCCCCATTGAAATTTATAATTTTTTAAAATTTTTTTCATTTCATTTGTACATTTCAAGGGACTTCATTAGTGGAAGATCTTCAGCGGGAGATTGTGAACGATCTGAGCGAGACAAGAAAGCAATAATGGTAATCTTTATTGCAGCTCTTAATATTGCTTCTTTTGTTCTGTTACTGAAGTCGCTACTGTTAACAATGCTATTGTGCGCCTCAGCAAAACTACCGATCGCTATCTCACACCGAGTACTGCGGTAAAGAAACAACAGCCCGACAGTACAACTCTTAATAGATTCTCCTGTTATCTGAATGAATGGTGATGACGATGTTGTTTAGCGTCCTAAACTAACTGTACCGATCGTTATCTTGCACCTTGGGCCCCACACTTAATACTCAGATAAAGGTACGCTAGGGCAACATTGCCGACTGTTAGATCTTTATGAGCGCGAAAATAGCCCGATGGCCGATTTTAAGGTGT